AAAAAACAGCTTTAGGTTTTATAAGAGCTATAACACAACAAGAATGTGGATAGCATAAGGCCGCATTCAACTGGCATGTACTGTTGAAACAGAAAGGGAATCGGGATGGCGAGCTAAGGATAATTTTCTGGGATAACGACAAAGCATAACAAGAAGATTTATAATGCGTAACGAACATCAAATCAGGATGAAAGTTTAACTTAATTTCTTCTCAATGATGCCTGCGGCTATCGTTTGACCTCCTGCTCTAAGTGTAATTCGTCCGAGCGCCTTGCAATTTGTATAAGCTTCGACGGCGACTTCTCGTTCGGTCTCGATTTCAACCAGTCCGCTCATCTGCTTCGATAAGCACCTACAAATAGGTACAATGTTTCCTGTTAATGATTGACCAATTCATTGAAAGGCAATGGCGCGAAAGCAGAATACTGTATGACAAACAAAGCGCGTTTGCGCCGTAGCTTTCCAAACGCAAACTGTCTCACAAAAATAGTTGCACAAAAAGCATAAAGAAGTGAGTTCCGATGAAGTTGGGATCTTGTAAGGCGGATGGGAAATACTAAAATTTACTGTGCGGTTCGTAGAAATGTGTTTACAGTAAAAAAAAACAAACAGAAAAAGTGATTTAATGATAGCTAACAGCTAAAATCCTATAAAAGTGATGTTGAACGGACATCGAAAGCATAAGTTCAAAGTACCTTGGTCTTTCCTTGATAACATGACCATCTGCCTTATTGATCGAAGAGACAAGTTTCACCACCGTACATGGTTCGCACAAAGAGTGGCAATACAATTCTGCTCTTGTTCCTTTCATTATGGGAACCACTATGTCAAATACCACAATTCTGGCAAGAAAACGGCAGCAAGGCATGAGGGCGTCCTAAAAGGGGATTTAACAAGAGTTATCCTTATCAAATCACAAAATTCAACTTACCGGGCCTGCGCGGACGATGACGTGACCAGCTTGTATGGTGTCCGGCTCAAATGCTCCATTCAGCGTCAAAAGAGTGTGATCACCTGCGACACAGCTATCCACAGCTCCGCCATCGTCATTGGAACAGGCTATAATAACTGGAGGTTGGAAACTTTCCAAGAAGTCAAAAACGCACCTTTCACAGTAGCGGCGTCGGCGTTTGGCATTATAAAGACCTTATCCCCCATTTCAACTTCCCCGGATTCAATTTTGCCGCTCAAGCACAACTGCAGAGGTGTCGCCTGAAAATGAAAGGTTGAAGTGGACAAAAAACATTCGCTAACATGAAAAATCTTAACTAACCTTGAATACATCATTGATTACAATCCGTAAGGGACCCTCGCTAGCACGACTTGGTGCAGAAAACTTGTCTAAGTAAAATGTTGAGCTTATTTTGAAGCGTACAAAATTGTGTAAATAGAAGCCATATATTCATACTTCGATCAAACAAAATGTTAGAACTTACCTATAAGTTCCAACAGACATTCGCCAGTATACCATTTTTTGAGGGGATGATTGTCTGGCACTCTTTTCGACAGATTTTCACCATTGAGTCCAGAAACGGGTACAAACCGAAGTTGACTGAAACC